GGGCTGGTGGGTGTGCATATTGGGGGAGGGGAGAGGACTGAGGACTCGACTCTTCTGCGGTTCATGTAATGATTCGTTCGTGCCATGTGTTGGTTGACGGATACGGACGTACAACACACATCCATCTGCCCGCGCAGTAAGTGAGCCGAAGGGCCGCTTTAGGGCTCACCCCCGCCCCACCCACACGCACGACAGACAGCCATGCCATGCACACGTGGACGAGTCTTTCGTGACACGACCTCATTCATCGCATTGCATCGTCCGCTCATCCCACCTGCCTGTTGACCCAGCAACACAGCCATTCCATTCAGCGGCTTCTCTTGCCCCACTCCACCACCCCGCCCCATCCATGCCATGCACACAGCCACGCCCCCATCGGCCACACGGCCATCCATCAGTGAGCCAACGTACTAACGAGACAGAGAGCCACCGACCAGCGAGAGAGTGAGTAGTGAGAGTGTCCTCTGCAGCGCGTACCCTACTACCATCCATCCATCCATCCCCTTCTCCACACACAAACCAGTGTGTGATGAGACGTGACAAGAGCATGCGAGAGAGAGAGAGGGAGAGCGAGAGAGACGGCGAGAAAGAAATGCGGCGGGGGTCCAGTGGGAGAGACATTAATGCATCAAACATTTCAGAGGGAACGTATGAATACACCATACAAGCCAGAGTAGCGTGTGAAAGAGATGATGGGATGGCCTCGCGCCAGACAGTCCAACCAAGACGCCACACCCCATGCACACACGCGCCCCCTCTCCCCTCTCTCTGCCTGCCTGTGTTGTGTCGTATCTACATAAGCCATTCGTCCATCGGTCGGGTCGAGTGGCCGGCCGCGCATCCATCAAGAGGTGCCCAATTGGACGCCCTGGTAGAAAACAGCCCGTTTTTAGGCATGGTTGGTATGTTTGCGCCCCTCGCCACCCACCCGTACACCGTACGTAAAGAGCGACCCGACACACGCAGTGGCCATCACTCCATCCATCCACACACAGTACACACACATCTACACACCCACATCTGCACACACCACACCATCGTCAGCCAGTGTACACACACCACACAACACCACACCACACAACACCATACACAACATGCAGGAAGCAGCAGTAGGCAGTTAGCTACAGGAAGTAGTAAGTCGGTCTGTTCGTGAGTGTCCTCACTGGTCCCTCTCCTCCCTCAACCGCCTCAGGGTGTTGGGGCGGGTGCTGCGGCTCGTGCCTCGGATCTCACCCGGCAAGTAGGCCTTCTTCTGCGGGTTCAGCCTCGTCTCGGGCGAGGACGAGGAGCCGCCAACGCCGCCAGCGCCAGCGGCCGGCGGCTGCTCCTGGGCGGGCTGGGTCCTGACAAAGGGGTTGCCCTTGGCCTTCATGGCCGCCATGCCGATGGCCCTGCCGGCCGCTGCGGCGTTCTCGGGCGACGCCCTGACGGGTCTGTTCTCGTTTCCGCTCATGTTGGGCACCTTGATCTGATACTGACCACCGTCGTTAACCCAGTCACGGCTGCACGCACACACACACACACACCCCACCACCAGCAGACGTACATGGGATGCGTTGTGTGTGTGTTGCGGTGTGGTGGGTTGCTTACTACTGGATGAAGGCCTCCTCGGGGCCCTGTAGGGTGACGCCGTTCTGGTTGGTGGGCATCCGGCGGATGCCAGCCTCGGCGGAGAAGTAGGCCACAGGGCAGGATGGGCCACCGTTCAACGGGCAGGTCCGCGCAAGGAACCCCGACCGGATGATGTGCTGCGCCTGACGAGGGTCCAGCTTCCGGAGACCCTCCACAACGGCCGCCGCCTCGGCGTCCGTCAGCTGTCGCAACTCCACCTTCTCAGGCACCTCGGCGGCCGACGCGCTGGCGTCGCCTGTCTCAGGGGCGGTCAGCTGCCGCTGGAGCGGTGTCTCACCACCCTCCCCAACAGTCGGCTGCTGAACGGCCATTCTCGCAGCGTCGGGCGGCGCGACATCTTCCTGTGGGCAGCCCTGGATGTTTCCAGCGGCGCAGGGGCGGGCGAGCTCTGAGTGTGACGCAAGGGCGACGGAGGCCGCAATGAGGAGGAGGGCACACGTCTTCACGAGGGTCACCATCTCGCTGGGAGGACTGCTGGAAGGGGAAGGAATCGCGCGAACGAGAGAAAAGGAGAAGAAGGGAAGACAACCACAGAGAGAAAAGCGAAAACGAAACGAAAGCCAAAAAGTTCTGTCAGGCTGAAACGCCTTTGGACCGTTGGCGGCTGCAAGCGGCCGCCGAAATACAAGTACGGCAAAATAATAGTACCTCGCGGCCCGTACCGCTTCCAGTCGCAGGCCAGCAGGGGAACAAAGCCCTCCTTATCCCCCAGAAGAGGGGTCATTCGGAAAGGGCATATGAAGCGCTTTCTCGCCCTCGCCGCGGCGCTGCCCCTGTCTGCCGCCATGGCGCCCTTCGCAAATGGCTGGGGAAGGACGCCCGTCGACCCAGACCTGATGCCACTTGTCGACTATGACACTCTCGGCATCCACAAGAGCGCCCCTGTAGCGAGCGGCCTTCAAGTGCCGGGCAAGCACGGTCAGCAGCCACAACAACACGCAGCTGGAGGCAATCAAGGTGGCCACAACAAAGGTGGGCAAGTGAAGCCGCAGGGAGCGAGAGAAGGGGAGGGCACCGTCGCTCTGGAAACGGAAACGCCTCCTGACGGCGTGTATCCCGGGGGCTGGAGGCCTGACGGCACGTGTGCGTGGGACCCCAACCCGAAGGTCTGTCGGCACCGATACATCACGGGGGCGAGTATGGTCACTCACGAGTTCTTCCACTACGGCCGCTTCGAGATCCGGTGGCTGACCAATTTCGACATGGACGGCTTGGTGCCGGCCTTCTTTCTGTACGTCAACCAGACCAACAAGGCCGGAACGAACAGCTGGCAGGAGGTGGATTTCGAAGTGCACGGCAAGGGCTGGTTCAAGGACACCCCCATACAGACCAACATCATTACGGGGTGGGGCTGGGAGAGCGGCCGCAAGATCAAGGAGGAGTTCTACGCCGCCCCTGGGGTGGCCGCCAACCACGAGGCGCAGACCTGGGAGGTCAAGAAGAGGTGGCACACGTACACTCTCGAGTGGACACCTGGACACATAGCGTGGTTCTATGACGGCAAGGTCATCCGCTGGGTGAGTCGAGTCCGGGAGACGAGAAAGCAACCTGGACATGGGAGGAGGGTTGTCACCTCGCTGCATTTGTATGTGTGCGTGTGCAGGACAATGCGTGTCCGCCTGGTGTGAATGAGGAGGATGAGAACAAGGGCTGCAATCCACAGGTTAACCTCATGACGGAACCCATGAGGCTCTACTTCAACGCATGGATCATCGACCCCAGAGAATGGTACTACCCCTCCCTCTCCACCCACCTTGCGCTCACCACTCCGCACTTCGCTGTCTGTCTGTCTGTCTGTCTGTTTGTCTGTCAGGTGGGCCCAGTACTGGGCGGGTATCTACAAGGAGGAGCATCTTCTGCCCATCACCACCTACGTGGACTTCATCAAGTTCTCGGCATGGGACGAGGAGTCCCGCAAGTTCGAGCCCCAGTGGTTCGACGACTTCCGCGGCTTCTCGTGGAACATCTACGGGCCCAACGAGGGCTCCGACCTCATCAACCTCGTCGAGTTCATCCCCGAGCGCATCCAGGTGGTCGGCGGACACTACCTCGCCCTCAACGTCCACTACCGCAACGCCACAGTCGTGCCCACCATACCTGATGACAAACACGACAAGAGTGAGCAGAGAACGTGACGGACGCACAGCAGAGGGCAACACACACAGGGAAGGACACACTTGTTCCCTCCCTCTCTCTCTGTGTCCGTGTGTTGGTCTCCTCCGCAGCTAACAAGTGTTACACATACGGGATGGACATGCTTGGGGGCGAGCTGAGCACCAACCCTGCCCGCGACTACGTGCCGTCAGCCCGGCGGTGTCAGCAGATCTGCCAGGAGACCGAGGGCTGTCTCTACTGGGTGCACAAGCCCATCATGGAGGAGCAGAACTGCTGGCTCAATGGCAAGGACGCCAGGCGGGTCAACAACACCGGCAACGAGCCCTTCTGCTGCAGCACTTTCGGGCCCAAGTGGTGCGGCGAGCAGCACAACCTGCGGCCCAACTACGACCACGACGGCATCTGGAACGAGCTCGAGAACTCACACAAGATCAACCAGGAGGAGCAGCTGTACCAGGACAACGCCCACACACCCGTACCCAGGCCAGTCATCAATCCGCCCGATGCTGAGTTCTCCAATGCCGGCGGCGGCCTCATCCCCAACCCACAGCCACACATCAACAACCCCCAATCGTCCAGCGAAGGAACAACAGAGGCATGGAACGAACAACAGCCGCCGCCGCCGCCGCCGCAGGGAGCGGGCAACCAGGGTGTTCACCAGCAGCAGCAGCAGATGAGGCACGGCAACGGCAATCAGGGGCAGCCACAGACCACATCCAACAGACGGCCGGCGGGCAGCAGGCAGAGGCAGCAGCAGCAGCAGGGTCACCAAGCACGTGGCAAGGGAAAAGGCCAGTACCCAAGAAAGAACATGGTATGTACCCCACCCCACCCCGCCTCACACACACACACAATATGCCGAGAGACCATGCCGCCCATTTCTGTAGGGTGCGGGTGGTGCCAAGAAGTCCGAGTACGAGTATGAATACGACTACGATTACGAGCAGGCCACCGGGCTGCCCTCTGAGGACGGCGGCTCCACTGCTGCAGAAGAGGCCACCAACGGGCCCTCAGCGACAGGTGAGGAGCAGACGGACCACCTGGTTGTCGACGGCGACTACGTGGAGGACTCAGCGCAGGCAGAGCAGGTGTATGGGGGCGACAACCCATCAAGCGGGACAGGGGGTGCGCCACCTGAGCCGAGCCAGGAGCAGGAGAATGGGGGCGAAGAGGTCTGTGGCGTCGGGTGGGAGCAGAGAGCCGACTGCGGATGGATGGGCATCGACCCACAAGTGGTGCGTGAGCGCTGAGTGAGACACTGACTGGCGTGACGGCACGTGTGTGGAGTGATCTCTCCTTGTCCCTGTCTTTGTGCTGGGTCCTTGATTCAGTGTGAGGACCGCGGCTGTTGCTACGACCAAGATGCGCCACAGTAGGCCAAGAGACACAGACACAACGAAGACATAGACATGCATACCGGTCCCTTCCGTGTGTGTGGTTGGTGTGTGTTCAGTGGCATCATTGCCTGCTACTACAAGAAGACCCCCTCCCCTCCCCTGTAGCCGGTTTCCCCCCTCCCTCCCTCCCTCCCTCCCTCCCCCCCCTCTCTCTCTCTTCCTTGATTGATTCTATATTTGTCCAATGCATCTCTCTTACACCCACCCACCTACACATCCATCCATGGCGTCAATGCATCATTGCTCACCGTGTCCGTGCCGTCCAGGCCCATGGTGAGATCGACGCGCACGCACGCCGCACATGCACGCGTCCATGTTAGAGGGGCGGGAGGGAGGGGCACCATTTAGGTAGCTGAGGGAACGAAAGGCAGGCGATGCTGATGCTGATGCTGCCGTGAATGCATTCATTGATTGCATTGTTGCTGTCTGCCTGAGGTGCTTGACCATGATTTCTTTTGGCCTTAATTGTTGACTGACTGACTGACGACATCACTCCCAATTCGTTTGCGTTTTGTATTTTACACACATGGATGGATTCATGGATGGATTCATGGATGGACAGATGGGCAGATAGAGACGGCAAGTGGGTCTGTTCTTCAACTGAGTGGTCTCTGGTCTATATATAGATATTGGATGGTGTGCTATGCGTGTCAGTCATCTTTTCTCTGAGACGGTGGAGTGGTACGGGGTATGCTATGCATGGGGAGCACCTATTTGTACGTGTATTCCCGCAAGAAGTGGACGGTAGGGTAGCTAGCTGCATACATTTCACGTACGGTACCTGTGTTGAGTGTGACTGTGCCTACTTGTACCTGACGGTGTCGTGGTTCGCGTGCGTGTGTACACTATCTAAATGTGTCTCACATTGTCCTATTTATCCCTTACGGGGCCGCCTTGTCTGTCTGTCTGTCTGCCTGTCTGCCTGTCTGTCTGGCTAAACTGTCCTCTCCACTTATGTGATGTTGCTGTATACGTCCCTGGTTAAGTCTTTGTGTGTCCGTGCCGTTGCCGTTTGTGTGTGCTGTGGGTGAGGTGAGGATGAACACATGTGGGTGTGTCTGTCTGATGGGTGTCGTGACGACAGTCGATGGATGGATGGATGGATGCCTCCTTCCATGTGTGTGTGTGGCTATGCTTATGCTGTGACGGCACGCTGAGGCGAACAGTAGGCTTTCCCGAGCTGGACAGTGTGTCCACATCACACGCGGCAGACAAAGAGGGATTCACGCACATACACATAAATGCGTCACACAGTCACCACACTGCGCCGTGCTGTAATCTGGACTGTACAAACTGACGCGCATCATGATCCCTTTCCCTGACTGACAAACACTCCTCTGATCTCCCGAACCCGCAATAAACACAGAAAAAGAGCCAAAGACAGGACCTCTGCCTCCCTCCCTCCCTCCCTCCCTCCTTGAAGGAAGCATCGGGGCATCCATCACTTGCGGACCCAATGCAGATAGTTCACATCCCCCAAAGGCCTGAAGGAAGGAACGCCCAAGACAGTCAGACACATGGCCATCTGTGGTGGGTCTGCGCGTCCTGCGTCACCGACCTTGGTTTCCTGAGGTATTTGCAGGAGAAGACGAGCCCCAGCAGGAAGAGCAGCGCCCCGAATGCGAAGTATGCCCCGGCGAGGAAGAAGTCCCGCCCCCCCTGCCAGTTGGCCGTCGACAGCACCAGCTTCTTAGCTCCGCCGAAACCCCCTACAGGATACCCTGGACGATCACACAACAGAGAGGGAGAGAGAGAGAGATGAGCTGGCCTGATATCCCTGGCTGCCACGTTGTTTGGCTTACGGTTGTCGATCTCGACGTCGATTGGCAGCACCAGCTCGTCACCGGGCAGCACCAGCTTGCCCCACATCTTCCTGAACAGACATACACGGACACACACGCAGACACACATCAGCGCCTTACCGGCCGGCGTCCATGCATCCTCCGGAATCCCTTGCCCACCTGAAGTTTGGCAGCGGCGCCGTCCTCATCCACACGATGAAATGCGGGTCGGCCACGCCCCCAGGGAACAGCGGCTGGCCGCTCTCGTTGAACACCTGCGGGGCCCCATAGGTCCCCGGCACCAGCAGCCACTGAGCCACATTGGTGTGGTTGGTCCGCGGATTCTGGTACCGCCTCTCGTCACCCCCGAAGGGTGACTCGAAGTACTGCTCTTGCCGCTGATAGCGGCTCCTCCTGTCCATTGCGAAGACGAGGGTCTCCAGGGAATCATCCACGGTGACGCTCTCCCGCAGGCCAGTAGTGGGGTTGGTCTGGTAGAACGAGTAGGTGTCGTTGAAGACGCTGCGGGCGATGAGGCCACATGGCGAGTAGATAATCTCCTTTTCTTCATTGTCTTCCTTTTTTTTATAAGAAACCCATGGCTTGCAGGTCAGCAGCCGGTCTGTGTCGGTGATGACCCCGCCGCGCAGCTGGGCGAAGCTCCTGCTGTTGACGTACGTGCGATAGTTCTGGTGGAAGTTGCTCAGCTCGTAGTAGACGTACACAGGCCCGGGGATCGTGTCGATGTGCCGCTTCGGCCCCACACACTCATCGGCGCTGAAGGTCATCTGGATGGTGGTCTCGAGCTTGCCCTTCTGGTCGTACCGCTGCACGCACTCGTATATGTCGCTCGACGCACTGAGCAGCACCGCACCGATGACGAGCAGCGTCAGGCCGACCACATAGAAGGTGCATATCATCCAGCATGGCGTGAGGATCGGCTGCCACGCCTTCAGCCGCTGCTGAGTGAAGTTGTTGACCACAAATCCCTTCCCCTGGCTCACGTGGCTGCTCCGTCCGGACTGTTGTGACCCTCTCGTGTCGTGCCGTCTTCTGGATGATGCTGCAGCTGGCGTGTTCGATGGACGAGCTGTTCGCGACCGGTGCCTGGCAGTAGTCGCCTCGTTGGCGTCTGATGGTGGCGAGGTGCGTGGTGGGGCTTCTGTGTGGCCTCCACGAGGCGCACTGGGCTCTGGCGGCTCCATTTCGAAGACAAAGATTGCTGAAATGTCCACGTGAGCGTATGTGGGTGAGCAGAATGCTTCAGTATAGCACCAGCAAGCTGACAGTGATGCTGTTTGTCGAAAAGAACGTCGATGATAAGACAATGCCAAATTGAAAAGCTCGCAGGCGAGGGAAGGGGAGAGAGGGAGAGGAAGGACGCTGAAGCAGCTTTGCAGTTTGCAGTGGGATCCCTTTCATGTACATCAAGTCCATCTGTCTGGGCGACTCAATTGCCCCAGGTGGAAGATCATCGCAACGAAAATGATCATTTTCACCAGGTCACCACTGTCCCACGTGCCGGGGCTCGGGGATCATGCGCTCGCAGATAGACACATGTCCTCGTAAGTAGGTCTATGTACACGTGTCGCTGCACTACATTTGCACAGCCAGTCAGACGGAAGAGAGCCATCCCAACAGAGACGGGAGGAAAAAGCCTCCTCATTCGCAATGCACAAGACACACCGCTCTGGCCGGATGTTCACGTTGAGGTTCACGTCGAAGTCGCGCTGGAGATCTAGATCTGGATCAGAAGAGGAACCAACCCAGATCTAGGTCTCCAGGCCTACTCACATCAACGCCAACATGACACAACCGAGCCGCTGCCACCCACAAAGGCTGGCCGAGACGTCGTCGGTGTTGAAGCGGAGAAGAGCGACGCCGATGGGCGTCTGGGCCTCGAGGACTAGGATGAGGTGGTGCAGACTCCTGCACCACATCGGCCTCACCCTCAATGCAGAAGACGCCCGTCAACCGTCAGCTGCTTCACGCCGCACACACTCACTTGCCCACGCCCTGACTGATGACATCGTAAGCGACCAGCCCAGCCGCCTGACCCACGAAGGTCTTCATGAGGGTCGGCACACAGCCACGATAGAGCCCGACCATCCCCTCCCGCTTGGCCACGTCCAACAGACATGCTCGCATCGAAGCATACTGTGGCGCGGCGAAGTCTTGCGTCTGCAGAATGGTCTTGGCTCGGTCGATCCATAGCGTTGAGAGGTAGAAGGCCACCCCAGCCATTCCGCCACATACAGGCACCGGGAGGACGTTCAGCTGCTTGGCGGTGTGGTAGACGGTGAAGAGTATGGCATAGCCGAGAGTGTCGCGGGCGAGCTGGGCTGACAGGCCTCTATACCACACGCCCCACCCCTCACCACACACACAGCAGTCGTCCAACAATCGTCAGACGAGACGAAAACACGTTGCTATTGTTGTGTGCTCGTACGTGTGCTGCGATGAGGGCCTGTGCACGCTGCAGCGGGCCGTCATACACCTTGCCCGGCAACCTCTGATAGATCTGAGGGACAGACAGGTGCATTCTACCATGAATATCATGCTTTTTGTTGTCTTCCTTTGCTGACCTGCAGTTTGCTCTTGATGATCTCAACAGGGCAGCTGACAAGCGTGTTGACGGCCCCAGCCATCGCTCCAGCAAGAGCTGTTGACCCGCACACGCCATGCGCCCTCTCATAGATGGAGAACAGAGTCGACTTGACCACACCGTACGTCAGTAGACGGGGCGTGACTCCCTGATAGAAAGCTCGAACGCCCTCTCGCTGGAAGGTGCGCACGATGCAGTCCACCGGGCCGCGATAAGACAACGCTGTCGACTGCACACGAGTCTTCACTGCACACACAATCACACCGACACACAGAAGAGCGACCAGGTGCACTTGTCACTGTCGTCATCTATCGTTGATAGCAACCTACCCGTGTCGAATGGGTACTCCGCCGCCACTTGGGCCACCCCAGCGCCGCCGCCAGCGACAAAGGTGAAGGCTCCGGGAGGCAGAAAGAGCGGCGCCCTGTCAGTCGACATCGTTCATGAGACCATCAATACGCGGCCTCCTCCGCCCCTTCTTCTCCCAATGCGGCAGCGCCCAGGAAGCTCCGAATCGTCTGCGAGCTCATATTGCGAGCTTGCAGCAGAGAGGCGAGAGAGGGGGAGGGGGAAACACCACAGTGAAGAATGCCAGACTCAACGTGGAAGCTGAGCCGCTTGTCAAGAACTTTCAGTCTCCCTCAGTGAATGGACACGAGGAGGGCGCCTTGCTTAGTGGTGGAGCCTGTGGCTTTCTTGTCGGACGGCTCCAAGGTCTTCCTCTTCGTCAGATCCGACGCTGAAGCAGAGAAACTGGACAACGGGTCAGACCACACAAGGACGGTGTGAGGGGACTGTCCTGCACAGCAAATGTTACCACTGTCGTTGTGTACGTCTTTTGTCTGTGTCAGGGTGATGAGCGACATCCACAGTGCCTTTGTGAGTGGACGCTTCTTCGCTGCTGACGTGAGCGGGAAGAAAGAAAGCCCTATATATAGGTGACGACTGTCGGATGCTGTTTCTTTCTCTTGGTCCTCCTCCCCCAGGAGGGCGACTGGATTGTTGTGTCAGGGTGGCGAAATGAGCTCTATCACGTGACGTCACAGTCCCCCCTCCACAGCCAGCCCAGCTTTGACGACAGCGAAGGCTTCACGCCCCCCTGCAGCGGCCCCCCTCGCACCCCGCTGCTGCCCCAGGCCTACCCCTCTCCCCACTCCTCGTGGATGGGCCAGCCGTCCTCCCCTTCCGTGTGCCTATATATGGTGCGATACGAGCCGCAGTTTGTGCGGCCTGAGGAGACGAGGGCGCTGCTGTGCATGCTGATGGAAGGCAACCACAGCGATGAGTGGAGGGGGCTTGGCATGTGGTGAAGAGATGAGAGTGAATGGGTGGGTAGATGGGTGGATGCGAGATGAACGGACGGGGGGAGTTGCGTCGTGTCTTTTTGTTGAGGTGCGAAGAACCTCATGCGATGCACGCCCCGCGATGTGGATAGCTGCATGGATACGTAACGACAATCGACTTTTTTCTCTGGCTGTGAGTGTGAATGGGACACGTGTGTTGGGCAATGTATAGATGTTTGTGTAGCAGAACTTGATGGATAGATGACTCGTACAGGGACACGCCAACGCTGTCAATCAAAGAGTCGGTCACCTGCTCAACCCACAAAGACACCCTAAGTAAGAAATCCAAACCTACTCTACGCGTGCCGCACATCACATTGCCGCACATTCCACAGCACCAAGAACACGTCGAGATATCACTTGACGACAATTCAAAAAGGGAGCCAAACCCCATTGAGCAACAAAACATGCGCTGCCTGTACATGCGCAGATGCCTCAGCGAGCCCGCTCTTCTGCCACACCACAGTTGCGCCCACCCCCGCTTGTCGAATAGCCCGCTTGACGCCATCCACTAGATGAGAGAAAAATCTATCGATTCTTGCCGACGGGCAGAACATCCGCTTGCACTCGTCATAGTCTGGGGGCGGCACCGGCACCACAAGAGGGTCCTCAGTAAATCGTTTGTCTCCCCAATCACGCATCCAGAAATCCGCCTTTCCCTCTGGGTTCCCAGGGAGAAACGCCCATTCACTTCCATCCTCCATGTGATTGTCCACGCCCCGACTGATGAAGCCCACTTGTGCCGTCAGTTCGCCGCACACGCTGCGGCAGGTGCTCCTCAGCGACCAAATTGATTTGTCGGGGCTGTCGATCTCATAGAGAAGAGGCGCCAGACGCGAAGCCACGGCGGAGACGACCTTCTCGAACAGCTCCGACGTAGGCAGGGTGGCATGTGGGTTGCCGAGCAGGGTGGCAGAGGGAACGTTGGGGGGATGGCTTGTCGGACGGGAGGCAAAAATATCGCTCGACCCAAGCTCTTCCCTGCAGCAAGAAGACAGTCATAGGAAATGAATTCGTGGGGCTGCAGCAGCGCCTGTTGCGTGGCCCCACTCGTACTGCTTTTGAGCGCATGCAGCGGCCTTGTCGTGTGTCGTCTTTTGCCTCTTGGGGCCGAGCGATGATGGCGGCCGAGGCGGCCCGATAAGGAATCCGTTCTCATCAAAGACAACGGAGAGCGAGCAAGAGGTCTGGCAGGACTCCGTGTTGCCCATGCAGTCCTGATCGGGGTAGAACGAGGGACTGACGGTGGTGCCGAGACGAACTGGTGGGGGTGAGACGGGAGGGAAGGAGGACGGCTGAAGGAGGACGGAAACTCGATTTCTGCTGCTGGCACGCTGCGCTGGGCCGATTCACGTGTGGTTTGCTATTTTTTTTTTCTTTGTTCCGAAAGGCGAGCTCGGCGTCTACTTCTGGCTGGGGATTTCAATGCGCACACGTCCACTTTGCCCGACACGCTCAGCGTCGATGATTATGAGGATGTGGGGGTGGACATCCATGCGCTCCACCCCCTGCTGCTCGCCCCCCC